AAATAAACTATGTTAATTTTGAGTCTATGTACCCGAGCTGCTTAAATTTACCAAGATCCTTCCGTTTATCTGGATGTTATAGAGCCTAAACTTTGTATACGAGAGAAGTATGTTTGACCTTCGTATTGACTTCGACGGTGACATATTATTGTTACTCATAGTGGTTTCCGATATCATTTCACTAAATCTTCCTGATACCTTTAAATACTGAGATAAAAATTAATTTGATTGTTTTACTGCATTTTCATTATAATCTAATGTTCAATTGTAGGTTTTACATCTCTTATTCACTCACGCACACTTGTTAGTAATTGCTTTATATGATCTAATATTGTATTTATTTTTATTACGTCATCATATTTATCCACTGTTCACATTTCTACACGGAACGAAGCCTTAAATTTCATATACATACAATTCGTTGAAAAGAAATCCTTTCATGAAACTTCGAATTTTTAATCAACATGAGTAGTAAACTAACTGAATACTGCATATTGAAGAAGAGACTTAAAGGAGTCAGCATTTATATTGCCAATCCTAAGATCTAACAATATTTCGGCTAGTATTATGATTTCATCTAGAACTCTTCCAACCAAATTTTGTGTTATGTAGACATTTTATTAAAAACATCACTAATTCAACATTTTAAATAATTTTACTAAAATAAACTATTGTGTTAGATATCCTGACTAGTTAATTAATGATTATATCGTATATCCAACATACTACAAGGGTACATATATTAAAAAATATCAAATGTTCGCCATTAATTTGCTTATGATTCATAATTAAGACTCACTGCGTATGTGACATTATGCATACTAATTAGGTTAAATCTAATATAATGTATGAATAATTGCTCCTATAGTAAGATTATTGTTAAGCATTAGGTCGGAATAGTTGAACTCCTGAATGTAATTTGAATTTGTTAATTGCATATATTATTTGATTGTAACAGTTTCTGCACTTGATTATCTTACTCCACTAAACATTTTGCTTAAAAGATTAGTTTGGATGTAATATTATTTGTATAAGGCTAGTTGAAGATAATCTGACTGAATAAATTAAAGTACACATATCACCCGTTAAACAATTTTGATGTCCTATCTTGTAGGGTTTCGGGTCCCTCTCATTGTTTCCTTTGATGCAATACTTTGTGTTATTTTTCCGATGTTTACTTGTGTTATAATGTTCAGATAGGTATTAACTTCGACTGATGAACTGTTATATGAGATTGCATGTCTGTCAGTAACCTGATCTTAATCATAAACTAGAGGTGTTGGTATAAGATATAATTTCTAAAAATTACTTAAATATATTTACATCGTCTTGATTGAACAAGTGAAGAAAGTCCGTTCTGTACTATTTTCTGCGTTACTTTAAGCTTCATTAATGTTTTTCGCTATCGCATAAAACAATCCCCATAGAACGCACGTATTAATTTCTTACAAATATTTTTAATTATTTGATGTGTGAAACTTCCGTTTAGGTATATCTAGCAAATTAGCTTATCATAAAATATATACTTAACTGTTAAATAAAATTCACAAATACTTTTGTAATTTAATCTTTTTTATCTAATTTCTCAATTAGGTTAATGTGTTATTAATTCCCTAAATTCTACTTTTATATTAAATTGCAAAGGTGACAGCATGTTTTTACACACTTGATTTACAATTAGTGCTACTCATTGTAGTTTATGAAGGTTATGATGAATACAAAGTTGTACACTAAATAAATCTTATAATAATTTTTATAAATTAATATATTGTTCATTTCACATAAACTATAACTGACTTTAGATAATTGAATTCAACATGTTGAGCATTGTTGTCAGTTTATAACTTTTCCGTTTTTTGTTTGCTTATAAACTGAAATTAATTGTTTCTAAATCTGTTTTATCGGATCGAAACTTAATGTCCTATTGTAAGTATATGGCTATGGAGATTGTCGGGTTTCATAAAAAAGTATGAATCGATCAATGTATGATCAACATTTAAAACCTGAAAGCACTAGAGTGCTGCTTTGACCTAGTACGGGACTGTTCAACCTCGCACATCCATTATTCTGCACACCGAAATCGAATCCAGGGCATTCGGTCTTGCGCGCGAACATGGTGGTAGCGCAGTTTCATGGATTGATTGAAGTTAGAGATTAATAACTTTGGATCCCATCTCAATGGTCTAAAGGTCAAGCATTCTCACGCGAGACTGGATGTCCTGAGTTCTATTCCAACATGAGGGGTCGTGATTGCTGACTGTTGAAGAGTCCTACGAAAAATCGTATACTTGAGGGTCCCCGTATAACAATGTAACCTATAGTCAAGACATATCATTTGATGTAAATAGAGTCCACGAATGCTGTTAGTTTTATTTTTCTCTCTAGAAATTACCAGTTGGAAATATTGTCCATATGCATAACAACTTATCTGATATGGAAATTCTTTCTTTAGGTCGTTGGTTTCGCTTATTTCAGTTCACATAATTGAAAAATCATGCTCAATTTTTATGATATTCAAAAAAATAATTCTAATTTTGTTTTTTTGCGATGATCCATGTAGATTGGTAACAAATAGTTAGTCAAACTCTTGTTGAGTTAATTCGAGTTTATATTTATTTGGACTGTCCTTTTTTGTATCTGTTCACTTTAACAAACAATATATATATATATATATATATATATATATATATATATATATATATTTGACCTTAAATTTACCATGACCTCAAATGACATTCAGATTTTTAAACAATGCAAGGTTAGTTTTAAAACCGGGCATTTTATTTATTTGCTCTTTTGAATATTAGACTAGAATATTGAATCTATGTTTAGCATATGGGGTGCAAATCGATTCGAAATGGATTTTGTGTTATATTGGAGTACCTGGTTGTTTTTAGTTAAATGGTATAGAATATGCATTTTTATTTTGTACTACTATAACAGACCAATACAACATTGCGATCTCTATAGGATATTTTGTGATCTGAGCTGATTAAGGGATCGGAAATGTCTATGTCAAAATTGTGTTGCAATGAGTTGAGTAGTTGTATGCTGTATGGCTGTAAGTGTTAGTGGGTTCAACTATTAGACCAAAAACAGGAATTCCCAACTTATGTATTCGAAAATGGAAGACCAAACTTCTTTTATGAATGACGATTCCAATAAATATTAAGACAGATTTTGTTTAGCTGACTGACTGGCTTAGATGTGTGGATCTAACTCAAAGTTTAATCTTTAAGCTATGACGCATAACTAACTAGCGCACAAGCCAAGGAGTTTTACTAGAATCGAGAACATAGTTTTGTTTGGTTTTATCATGTAGTACATCGTCTTTCATGTTTCAACTGAGATAAGGTTCCATTAATAAATGTTTAAGCATCAGAACTAATTTATTTGAGTTGATATATATATATATATATATATATATATATATATATATATATGTAGTGTACGAGAATTCAAACGGAGAAAAACCAATTTATTGCTTAACGCGAAATCACAGAATGCTTTGGTAAAATATGAAAACCACACATTAAATACATTATTTACACATTTTCCATCAGTTGTCCTTTACAAGCTTCATGATTCTTTGAATTCTATTTTTATTACAATTACTCTCTGTTTCCTTTCCTGCTGGCATGTATTCCACATCGGATTGCTATTGCATACTACTTATATCTGTCAGCATAAGTAGTATTCATTACACATATTTTTGTTAGATATGATAATATAGCCTACAAAAGGTACTGAGTAATGTAAGAAATGCGTGTCCTGAATTTTGTTGCTTTTCATTACCCGATGCTACGTTACTGAAAATTATTTACACGTATGAATGCTTCGATATTAGAATGTATCCTCAACAACTTTGCAGGGATCTAATCTATACAACAAATTCAATTAAAGCAAAAGTCAGTGAATTAACAAAAAATTCTGTTATATTGAAATGTTAAGAAAAGCTTATTCATAAGTCCCACGTGGTTTTCATAGGCCGTATAAATAACAATCGAGCAAATCAGACTTTGTCATTAAAGCGCACCGAATAGATAAAAGATGATCATACCTTTAAAACTTATACCTTGCAATCTAAAAATACAATAACTGATATTTACCATTTTGAATTTTTGTGTATGCGTTTACATCATGTTTTATAATAAAATGATGACTACATTAGCAAAGGCAGTAAAATAATTCAAATTTGTGAATCATATGAAAGTTCCAACCTTCTTGTCTCATCAAAGACACTCATTCACGTGTGACCATTTGAAAAACAATGACTTTTATTGCTTGTAAGAAGACTTTACTGATTCCTATGTATTCTTAAGTATGTAGATTCTCGAAAAGAACATATCACAGTACTTAGGCTTGTTCTTCAGATATAAAACTTTGCTATATTTTCAAATAATCAAAGTTAAACCATATCCAAAAAGTGTTGGAAGCAAATTAAAGTAAAGATTAACTTCTACTTTAAATTTGAGTATTGGACGATAAAAAAAAGTCTTTTCGTCTAGTTTCTGGTTGTTTGAATTTTCCTCCTAATATCAAATGAATCAGTTAGCTTATTAATCTCTCAAACAATAATTTTCAGTGTTAGCAGTAGAATACAGGACATTTTCGTTTCGCAGTTTATATAGATAAAGTTTATTTAAATGCATCCACTCTTTGTAATCAAGTGTTTCCAATCAATGATCTTATAACATTGAGTATTTTCTGATATATTAATAGTAACCGTTGTGTTTTGAGATGTTATTCTTTGTTGTTGTATATCATAATTGGTTAATAAGCTTTGAAAGTGGTCTTGAACAAATACTTCATATTCTGTAAATATTGATGTGTTCATGTCGTTGCTATTTGTCATGTACATACATGAAACTATGTTGCTAAACCATGTGTTTTTAATTTTTCCATATGTTGTAATTTACTTCAAATATTTATTTGTATTTGCCAGCATGTTAGATAATTTGCAAATAAGTCCCATCTGTTTTCATGTTATTTATTTGCAGATCGAGTAGGCTATATTGGTGCACGTCGACACAGTGGTAAGTTGGATTTTTTAACAAGAATTTTGTCTTGTCCATATTCACTTTTTTTGAAACATGACTATCTTAATGACCTTAATTAGACTTTCCCAATCTTGATTAGTATACCTTCTAGATGACGTCTATCACCTAAAAACATTATATCATGGTTTTAACAACAGCTGAAATAGTTGGTTTTTATGAATTAGTGCAGTACATGTCAGCGTAACACGATTAAAATACCGAAATATCTGATGATTAGTTGCTGTTTTACTAAAGTACCACATCAGCTAGTTGCTCATTCAAATTTGGAAGATTTCAGGGGATAAAATCACTGACAAGCTAGTTGAAAAGTAAACTTGTCATTATTATGAAATTATTCAACCATGGTGGAAATATTTTATTAATATTTCATCAATTCATGAATAATCGTTCAATGAAATAAAAGAACTTATGAATCAATAATTTTGATTGTCATATGTCAGTTCATGTTTAATATCTCTTAATCAAGTTATGAAACCAAACTATATATATATATATATATATATATAGGATTTTCATCTGTTGTATCCTTTCTTGTTGTCTAGCCTTGAAGTACTGTATGCCTCTGAAGTTAATCGTCTAAATCTAAACGCCAAAGTCGGAATAGACAACATTGGATATGAAGATATCATGGGACTGCATGGACTGGGAGAGAGGAACGAAAACGGGGAAAGATTTGTAAATCTGTGTGCATTCAACAAATTGGTCATAGGCGGCACAATATTTCCACGCAAACGTATACACAAAGCTACATGGATCTCACCGGACCAAATCACACCACAGAGAATCAATAAAAAGTTCCGAAGGACAATGGAAGATGTGAGAACCAGGAGAGGTGCGGATATAGCTTTAGATCACCACCTGGTTGTGGCCAATTCAAAACTGAAGCTAAAGAAGAACTGGACAACTGGACAAAGAGCGCTGCAAAGGTTCAATACAGCCTTCCTTCGAGATACTGACAAACTCAATGAATTAAAGATGGCGCTCAATAACAGGTTCCAAGCCTTACAGGATCAACTGAAGGAAGAAAAACTACTATGGAGGATAACTGGAAAGGTATCAAAGAAGCATTAACTTCAACGTGTCAAAAGGTTCTGGACCTAAAGAAGCATCATCATGAGGAATGGATCTCTGCAGGAACACTGGACAGGATCAAAGAAAAGAAGGACAAGCTGAATACATAGAAGCAAACAAGCAAATGAAGAAGAGCATTGGAACCGATAAGCAGAAATACGTGGAAGAACTCGCAACGACGGTAGAGAAAGCTGCAAGAGAAGGAAATATGAAACAGGTTTACGATACAACGAAGAAACTAGCAGGGAAATATAGTAAACCAGAGAGACCGGTCAAATAAAAAGAAGGAAGACCAATCACTGAGATTCAGCAACAGCGGAACAGATGGGCAGAGTACTTCGAGGAACTCCTGAATAGGCCGGCTCCAATGAATCCACCGGATATCGAAGCAGCACACACAGATCTTCCTATAGATGTCAATCCACCAACGACGGGAGAAATCGGAATGGCCATCGGACAAATCAAGAGCGGGAAAGCAGCAGGATCTGACAATGCACCAGCTGAAACACTGAAGTCAGACACCGAAGTAACTACAAACATGCTTCACCTTCTATCCAAGAAGATTTGGGAGGAGGAACAAGTGCCGATGGACTGGAAGGAAGGACACTTGATCAAGATTCGAAAGAAAGGAGACCTGAGGGAGTGTGAAAACTACAGAGGCATTACACTACTGTCAATACCAGGAAAAGTCTTTAACAGAGTTGCTGAACCGGATGAAAGACGCAGTAGATGCCCAACTTCGAGATCAACAAGCTGGATTTCGTAAGGACTGGTCGTGTACAGACCAAATTGCGACACTACGGATCATCTTCGAACAATCAACTTAGTGGAATTTGTCACTATATATCAACTTCATTGATTATGAGAAGGCATTTGACAGTGTAGATAAAAGAACGTTATTTCGTTCATTTTGGTCCATTTAGTTCACGATTGAAAAGAAATGATTATAAACACCTCCTATATTCATTCTTGCTTTACAAAAGTTTATCAAGGGAACTCATTTAATTGAACGTCCACTTTCATAAATTTAACGTGCATAGGACAACTTATTTTCGTTTTAAAACTATTAAATCAAATTATGGTTATTAGACATCTTATAAAAAAGACTATGACACAAGTTAACTTGTTGTTATATGTCTCAAATAAGTATTATCTTATAATGTGGTGGTTGAAGTTAGCCTACAGAATACCCTAAACCTAGGTTTCGTGCTGTTAACGCTCGTCAGCAACATGTACCTGTAATCTTGAGGGAATTGGTGCTCCTTGGCGGATTTAACCCTTCGTCACCTGGACTTTGATCCACACTAAGAAGGACTTGACATATGTGACATTAGTCTCTACTCTGTGATCAGTCAATTATAAACTATCTCTTGTAAAAGACTTGATTGTTTCTTATATTATTTATTTTAAATTCTAAACTACATTCATCAAATGTTATTAAGCTTCACCATCGTTGTTGGTGTATTCAACAACTAAATTTTCTATTTATCAATTTTTATTTCATTTTTACTAATCAAATGAGAAAAGTACTTTCCAAAAGATCATGAAAATAAAGGTCACATATGAAAATAATCTTTCCATTGTCTTCTTCTTTTATGAGTAGTTCACAGTGGAAAAAAGAAAGTTCATCTTTATCTTGTTCAAATTTGAAGTAATCTAACATATATATATATATATATATATATATATATATATATATATATATATATATATATATATATATATTATCATCTCAATGATTCTCAATAAAGATAACGAAACGAAATCCAGTAATTGATTAACTTCTTTGAATATGTTCCAAAAACCTTCGAACAAGAGAAAGAGAGAGAGTGAACTACCTTAAACAACGCAATTACTAAACATCTCTTGGATACAGGACATCACGTTGATATCTTGGAATCTTTCAAGGTTGTTAGTAAACAGTCAAGCTCCAGTCTTTTGAAGTTTGCTAAAGCAATTGCTATGAGTCAGAAACATGATTTGTGTGTTCTAAAGGAGGTGGTTGTTAATCTTTCCTTACCTTGGTGATAAATATTAGTTCTTTACATCATGAAGATTTTGTTCAACTCTTCCCTTCAGATAATTACATCAATACGTCTTTTTACTTCGACTGTCTTCTAGATTAGCAATCTTATTTTAAGTAACTGGGGTTTACTCATTTTATTCTTACTTATAATCAGCATTTACTCATTGCGTAACCACTTGTTTGTAGCACTTTAGACCTTTGTCTGCATCAGTGTTGTATGTAAAGTACATATTTACATTTTTTTTTCAGTCTATGTTATCATCTTAAATTAAAGCTTTACATTGATAACTTGTGATACCTATCTATTCTGTTAAGGTTTTCTTATTAACATATATCTATATCTGTTTATTAAGAGAAAACCATTGTAAATTCGTAGTCCAGTAGATGATGCACGTTGCTTTAATACATTAAATACCATTGATTATTGTATCAAAATAGAAATACGGTTACATCTAGCTCCTTAGTTTCATATAGAAAAAAAAGAATCACTACCTAATGACATATTTGTTTGACTTTACATGAATCATATAGGGATTTGTTTATGCTTGACCTTTTTCTGTAATTTAAAAGCGACAATAAACAAATCAATTTACAAAATATGTTTGTACAAACTCTGTTGAAAGTAAATGTTTAATCAATCAATTTCAGCCTGACGTAAATATAAAATGAAGCTTTATGTTACAATTATAATTTTTCAAATAAAAAAAATACTTGAAAATCTTTTATCTAATGAAAATCATGAATGAAATTTTCATTTTAAAAACTATGTTGTTAGATTGGAATGGAAAGCTAACAACATTGAGTAAGATACGAACAAAAAGTCAATTTATAATAAACACACTAATTATTAAATTTTTTTAATTTATTAAAAAATCTCATTACATAATAAAGTATATTATTAGTTCTTGATTAATCGGATAGTCTATCCTTTTTTACCAACTAGGCTACTACCTATAGAGAGTTAGACAGATATATTTTTAATTTAATGGATTAAATCACATTATTTTGGGTAATAAACCTTTCTATTAATTACATTGAGATTTTTAAGCCAATATTTCTATTTCATTTCTAGCATTGAACTTCCAAATTATTCATTGAAATAAAACTGTAATATTGTTATCATTATTATTCAAGTGATATAATACTCCCCGATAGATGTATTCACGGAAATAAAAATGAAGTTAGATATTGACGAATTTGGATGCTGACTCATTGGTCTAGAGGTTAAGAGGTCGTTCGCGAGTCCGAAGGTCCTGAGTTTGAGTCCTGTATGTGGGATCGTGTATGCGCACTTCTGAGGAGTTCCATACTACAACGAAGTGGTCATCCACAAATCTCGATACTGAAAAATCGTTTGTCCTGTAATCAATTACATCAGTATTTATGAATGTAAATCATGGCCATAGGATAAAATAACTTTATTTACTTCAAAATGATGCTGTTTTGGTAGTAAACAACCTAAAATATGACTCGTCAATCAGCTAAATATATAAAAATATATTTATACAAACATTCTTCTTTATCATTAAATAATAATGACCTCAGAACTATTGAAATTCACTTGAATTTTCATTAGTTTCATGAAACATCTGTAACTTGTGAATTTTAATCACGTCGGATTGAGATAAATATGACTAGATTTATTAGTTATCATTTGTTCATTATCTCGAATAGACTAGCTGTTAGTGTGCACAACTGAAATCGTATTCAATAGTTCACAAAAATTATGCTCAATCTAGGGCTTAAAGGTTTTTGTTTTGTTAGGAAAGTATACTTCGATGGAGTCCTAAACACAGGCAAAATAACTGTTCAGTGTTGTTTAGTTCTCAATAACGTTTGAGTTGATACCATTTCTTTAACTAAAACTAACTTCCAACTAAATAATCGTCGTAAACTCCACTTTTAGTAATAATAATCTAGTGTTTCCTGGAGGAAAAAAGGTATTATAATTAAGTAATACGTTAAAATGGGCTGCATAAAGTCATGTTGTTTTTTATCAATTATCGTCAAGGTTAGTGAAATAATACTAAGTGTTATTTCAACTTATATTGAGCTTATTGCAAAATGAACACCTACTTTGGTTTTATTCGTTTTCAAAAGTGTGCTTTTGAACTCATTAGCAATTTTTCTAAAGTAACACGGCTGAATTTAAATATGCTACAATGATGTTGAAGTTATCAGTATAAGGTTGTGGAGATTGTCGAATTTTAATTTAGATCCTGAAATGATCATTGTTAGACCACCGTTGGAAACCTGGAAGCACCGGATTGCCGTTTTTTCCTAGTATTGGATTCAGCATTATTCATCTACAATCCCACATGCGGGACTGGAACTCAGGACCTTCGATCTCGTTACCTTTGTTCTATTTCTATTGTATGGATCTGTATTTTGCGTAAATGAAAATGTGACTTATTTTTCGAGTAGCTTTCGTTTGCTGGTACGTAACTATCGTATGTTTCTAACACGCATTATTATTCTGCCAAGATTTGTATGTATACTTATATTAAACCTTGAGTCATGTATTTATCTGGATTATATTTGGAACTATGTCATCCGTAGAAAATGGGATTGGGAATAATAAAATAAGGATGAGTTATTGGTCAAATGTTTTGGTTTCTGAGACTATGCTTTAAAATGTTTGCTTAAAATCCAAAGGTCTATTGTGTCAGATTATTAATAATATCGCTATATATTTATACAACATATATCCATCTCCATACGTACTTTTAAGGATACTACGATAGAACGCCGTTCTGTTTTCGATTTTGTCGTTGTATTTAACTTAAAGTGTATTCTTCTAACCAAATCGGAACTAACTAACTATTTTAGCGTCAAGAGAATTTAGAAAATTTATGATTTTAATACATAGTTTTATAATGCATTAAGATTATCGAAGTCATCAAGAATTTGATGCATTTGACTGATACCGTTTCCAATTGTTTTACTTAGCTGTTTTGTTTTGAACAAGGTTCACTAACAATATACTGTGAATTTAGTTGATAGTTAACCTATTCATCCTGATTTTTCCCACTTTTTAGTGGCAGCTGAAAGTTTTAATCCAGCCACGATAACTGATTTGGAACCTGTTGTTCATCCAAAGTCTGTAGCACAAAAACTTCGTTTAGTATCAGTTGTCAAACCAATTTTCATTTTTCGTTCATTGGATGAAGTGAGTTATGGAAAGTTTGTTTGTGCAATTCAATATTTGGTTACGGTTTCCCGACAATGCCGGTTTTCAGTGAGATGAATTGCTAACGGTGGAATTTCTTAAATTTCTAATTGTTGTACAGCAAACATGAAAACATTTCTGATGCATGCACTTAGTTAATCTCGAGTTGAACTCATAAAGAAAAATTGTTTTAATATTTGAAGTGGTGTAGTGAGTATTTCTAAACACTTAAAGTATTCGTCTGAAAGTCTAGTGCTATTTATGGCCTTAATATCTACCTCAGGTTGTCGGCACTTTGTATTCTTTGGTATACCTTGAAGATTCTAAATTGTAACTCGCCTTAAGATACACTTGAGTGGTTCGCTCATAGTATGTTCTATAAACCCCCATCGTCTATTCCCGATTTCCTCGTCAACTGGCAGCTGCTTTTCTTCTACAGCAGTATGTTACCATTGGTGGTCTTTGGCCACCGAACCTGGAATACCATGTGTAAACAGCTATTAACGAGTACCTGTATTTTTATGGTAACAGTGATGATAGTCCTTCGAATTTCAGAGCTCTGCAATAGACGTATTTTAACGTTGATTTTGAAAATTCCAGATTTGGTGTTGGCTGACAGTTCTTTTGAGTTTCATATATTATTCAGTTGTGGAAATATTGTCTTCGTTTTATTGATTTATACCATCATAGCTGCATCAGATACTCTTTGTTTATGAGTGGTACTGCCTAATTACATTAAGGGTTCCATCTCTTTCAGACTTCACCATCAAATATGATTTGGTTGGTCCCGACTGTTGTATATGTTGAACCCTAATGCTTCTGAAGCCGATGCTACACTGGAATTCTTTGTATGTATTTGTGGCTACGTACACTATAACACGACTAAGCTATCTGCAAAGACTAAGTCACGCTGTTGTGTCTAAAGTGTCTCTCCTGTATTTCCTGCTTCGCCTAAAGTGTGGGGGTCAACATAATCCAATCGACAATCGGAAGTAAAAGTAGACATCCTTGTCTGATACCAGTATTCACTCAGAATGCACTTGTGAGCTGTTTTTCATGCACGATTTTCTGATTCGGTCATTCGTAGGAGTTCCGTATAATGGTGACGATCTTTTCAGGTGCTCCATAGTGTCGAAGAGGGTTCCATAAGGTCATCCTATCCACACTGTCGAACCTTTCTTCATGATCAAGGAAGTTGATATATAGTGATGACTTCCATTCAATTGATTACTGATCCACCATGTCGCTATTGGGTTGATGTATAATCTATCCTTACGAAGTCAGCTCTTTGACCTCAGAGTTGGTTGTCAATTGATCTTTCGTTCAGTTTAGATACACTCTGTCGAAAACTGCCTGGTACTGTCAGTAATGTGATGCTTGTGTAGTTCTCATACTTACTTTATTCTTTTTTCGGTATCTTGATGAGGCACCCCCCCTTGCCAGTTTACTGGTACTTACTCGTACTCCGTAGACTTCCTCTTGTAACGTGCTCCGCTTTTATTGCTAGGTCTTCCATATATTTCCACTTATCATCTCTAAAGTTCCTCAATCATTTGTGTGCTTCTGCGTATTCGGCTTGTGCCTTGATCTTCTCCGCTCTTTTTCGGCTGTTGTTGGTTACTGTCTTCTTATTTTTCCTTTCTTATATCGTACCCAGGATGAAGTTATTGCTCTTTTAATTTCATTCAGTCGTCCTTACTGTGGTTTTCTCTCTTAGCAACTTTTGAAGGGGCTCGAACTTATTGCTGAGAATTATCTTGAAGTCGCTGAACTCGTTAGTATTTTGAATGAAGGTTGTGCTATACTTTTATTGTGCTGTTTGTCCAATTGTCCAGTGTATTTTTATCTTCAGTTTTAGCTGGACTACTATCATATAGCGACTCTAAGCTAAATTAGCTACTTTCTTTGTTAATATAACTACAATCAATCTTCTGAATTTATTCTCATCCATATATAGCCGACTTAGTTTTCTGAACTGTGGTACAGTGACACCTTTGAAGTTCGGATCGTCTAATTGGTTCTGAGTTGTCCATTGTATTCTATGTTTTCCGTCAGATGTCGTGGTCTTCATAATCCAGTCGACCACCAGAAGAAAGAGGAAGGGAGAGAGTAGAAAGCCTTGTCTGACTCCGGTCCTTACTTGGAATGCATCTGTCAACTGTCCTCCATGCACGACCTGGCACTGTAGTCCGTCGTATGAGTTCTGGATAATATTGACAATTTTCTCAGTAACTCCATAGTGTCGAAGAAGTTCCCATAACGTTCTCCTATCTACACTGTCAAACGCCTTTTCATAATCAATGAGGTTGATGTACAGTGACGAATTTCACTCAACTGATTGTTCGACAATGATCCGTAGTGTCGAAATTTGGTCTGTGCACGACCAATCCTTACAGGATCCAGCTTGTTGATCTCGAAGTTGGGCATCTACTGCGTCTTTCATCCGGTCATAGTTCTTCTAAATGAAGACTTAACTCCCAGGACAGAGTTTAAATGGTTTGAATTATTTTTGCTGGTTGGCGTTTTCTAGCGAGTTAGTTTTCTACGGGATGGGGTCGCTAACCCCATGCCCAAGCCCCCTCCTTTGCCCGGGCTTGGGACCAGCAGTAACTCTAGAAGAGCTGCAGGCGAAGTTGTATAACACCCCTACAAACATTTTTATACTTCTTGTAGCCCGATTTATATACAGTATAATTGATGATGAAGTTACACTAATTATTTGATGTTAATTAATTTGGACAAGTCAAAAATTTATTGTATTGGAAACCATTAATTTTTAATAGCTTTCTAATTAATTGAAGCAGAAACATACTTGACATAGTGTTTAAATGTTTGTTATTAGTAATCTATGTTTCACATAATTGGCTTTTTAGAAAATGAAGATGACAAAATATGTTTAAGAAAAGGAGATCAAAGCAAGAATTATGTGATTTAAAGTTATTTATTCGTGGAAATAAAACTAAGTTTGAGCAAAACGTCTCTTGTTTGGAAATGAATTGTTGGTTTTTTATTGAACATTACAGCTAGTTTAGAGCCTTCCAATTTACTGACTTCATCATGGTTAACCACGAATTCTTTAAAAGGTTTTTAAAAGCATTTTTGGGTTTATATCGTAAAATCTTCTGATTTCCTCCTTAATAGGAAGAAACACTCATCCTGAATTCTACTGGAACCCACAGTTCAAATTCACTAAACAGTCAACATTAATACTGTTATCTCCTAAGCTCCGTCAAATATCACGTGAAACATAAATCGTTAATCAGAACACTGATTTATATAACCTTGGCCGTGTGCCGAACCAGCACGAGCAGCCTAGGGTCAACTCTGAGTCCTTATTCGTTCTTGTTGCCTTGCTCTGCCCGTTGAGTCCAGAACATAGCCTCAGCTCCTACTGTATTAATAATGTATTTCAGACAGTTGCAGTTTATATTCAAGCAAAGCAGACCGTATCATAACATAATACAAGATCGAGCCAAAAGTGGCTGTGAGTGTGATGCTATAACTAATAGATTGGGAATAACTTAAGCATAGTAAATCGTACAATAATAGTCAATAGGTCAAACGAAAGCTTACGATAAATGGAATATGAATGTACATATAATCTAGTTACTTGACTGCAATCCGAAAGGATTATATGTCATAATAGTTCCTAAATAATTCCTAGCAATTACCATCCATGTATTGTTCGTTAGGATATTGCAAACGCAAAATCAAATTTTATTTAATTTAAAATCAGCAACAAAGCTGGTGTCCCTACCTTGTCGATAATCGTCTTTGGTATACTCATTGGGTTTGTGTGAAATGACAGCCATTATCTATGTGTTGGTTTTATACAGTCACTGACTAGTTTGGAATTTTATTTTTTTATACATCTGTATAACATGTCAGCTTTCATTAAGTATTCACTAGTAGTTTCTGAAAAGACCAAAAAGAATTTAAAAACCTAGGACTATTATTTTTAATCTAATGAGGTTAAAAATTTAGGTTAGGCGTTTACACAGTGGTCTTATCATTATTTGGTTAATGTAAGTATACTAAGTGTTAACGCTGTTGATATTCAGGACTGATTTTAGTCAGTTTATATATATATATATATATATATATATATATATATATATATATATATATATATAACAGGAAGTTCAGTTCTGGGTAATGACCACCAAATTTTTTACAATTCATAACAGATAATGTGCCCATTGAACAAGTTGGAGAAAATCATTTCACTATTGCCACAATTAATATCAATTTTTCATACAAAATACTTCTGAACATAATTTTTACAACAAACCGGTTTAAATGTTTTAAAACATTTTTAAATTAATGATCTACTAACTTTTGACACATCCTTTCATCCATAAAAATTAAAGTTTTTCATCTGTTACCTTATGAGATTATCATTTTTTGTTTATCCTCATTGTTAATTATTTTTTTTTCCTCTTTTTATATTTGACTAATAGATTCAACTGAGAAGAGTAATCGATGCGATAAAAGAAACTCCTGTGACTAAAGGTCAAGTAATTATAAATCAAGGTGAAGATGGTGATTATTTTTATGTAATTGAAAGGTGAGTGTATTAAATGAGTTAAGACGCTGGAAATATAAGTAGAATTTAATGAGTAGAAAAAAAATTATATATATATATATATATATATATATATATATGAATGGGCTAGTGTTTTACTGTTAACTTCTTATATTTAAATAGTTTATTAAGCAACGAGAAATTTCGAAATGTCTACGCTGTAACGAATTATTAGTTGGGTGTAACTGACAATAATAATATAGCACCACCATATGGTTGTATATTCCAATATTTATTGTTTATTTTCCCGAACGAATTAGTTGTCTAAATTAAAAGTTTATTAATATTAAGAGTAAATAATAAAATTCCAAACTGTTGAATGGATGCTTTGTAAGGTTTTAATGTATATTACCGTGTCAAGCCCATATGGGTTATTATAGTTTCTGGACAGATTGGTTTACTCATTCTTCTGAAGTCACATTTCGACCTTGTCAACTATTCGCCCTATAACCTTGACTTTTTATGTTAGCGTGTTTGAGTGCATTGCTTATCCTACTCATTACATGTCTGTAGCGTATTTTTATCTGACTATAAATGTCGAGTCACGATTGATCAAATCGAGTTGGCTCACATGGCTTCTACACTGAGCTTCTTATTCTGAATATCTGTATAGATAAACGAACACTTGAAATAAATCCCTTCAACGCGACTCGTATTCGGCTTCTGGTTACCACCGTCACACAAACGGAGTTAAATGGGAGATTTATACTCATAGCATATTCATACTCTAGTCCAAATCAGAGTCAAGTCAGCGGGCTACAAAAAAGCAATCAGACTTTCCTGATTATCAACCGAGCACTTCCTAAGTAAATCATCCATTGAACTTAACACTGGGTTACTAAGTGAATCCAATTTGGATCGCGGACTCGAAAATTAATTGAACGGTATAACATATTAAACTTACTTCTAATCACCCACATTCATCAGTAACTATATACATGAACAATAGTTTTTTTAGTTATTGTATAATCGACCACGTATTACGAAGAAATGAGATTATTTAAATATCCAAATAAATTGAAATGAGTGCTTATGTCACAGTAATTAGTATACTGTTTTCCAGTTATATTTGTCTTTTAACGTCGTTACAGTAAGAATATCTTAATTTATAATTAATTATTTGACTGGAATTACAAGCCGAGAATAAATTAAGCAAATAATATCTATTGCCTATTTATGTGGCACACAATTGTAATTAGGGGATGTAATTACAAGACATTGTAATGCACTTTACTGATAAGAGAAAATAATGCTAATAAAGTCAGATGTTTTCTTTTATAAGATGAAGTTTACATGTTGTCCAAGTTTTAATTATTCATCTGAGGTGGGGGAGTGAGGTTCGGAAAATTGTTAGTTATTGATTATACTTGAAAGTTAAAAATTTTTCACTCTATTGAACATTTCTTTAAAAAAGCTATTGAAATATTTCAATTATATGAGAGTAATTATGCATTGAATAAAAGAACGAACAGGCCAATAGCCTAGGCTAACAAGATCCAAATAATTATATAGATATTTCTTCGTGACTTCAAGATAAATGCGTCATGTTTTTCTTTAATGGATATTTCTAATAGTTGAACTCATGAGTCGATGTAAGCTAGACCACCATTGAAAACCTGGAAGCACCGGACAGTCTTTTCGTCCTAGTACGGGACTCCTCAGCAATGCGCATCCTCGATCCCGCATGCGGGAGTCGAACACACGACCTTCGACCTCGTACATGCACTTAACCTTCAGATCACTGAGCCGGCATCCAACGGTGTTAATGTTTAACTTAAATCAATCCATGATCTTGCTCAATCATTCATCCATTGTCTGAAGTAGATACCTGTCTCTACCCAACACGGGTTGGACTCCACTGGTCATGGCTTCTCATTAGAACTCCAGGAAATCATCTTGAAGCCAGTCACTAGTTAGCGCATGATAGTTATGATCAGAGTGGGGTTTTGTGGAGATCGCAGTAATTTTAATAGTTGATTTCGCGAGTCAATCTAAGTTAAACCACCATTGAAAACCTGAAATCCCTGGACAGCCGTTACGTCCTAGTATAGTACTCTTTATAGTATTTTTGCGATTGCTCTTTTCTTGTTAATATGTTTTAAATGCAAATAAATCACTTGAAATTAGATCGAATAATTTTGATAATGTATATTCGGCGTTTAAATATTACATAATCATTCTTCTGAGTGTTTCATCTTTAAAGTAATCCAAAAATAAATGTTCTTTTAGTGTTCTTTCAATGTTCATATTTTTTATTTGTTTTTAAATGATCATAATTTGGTTTAGATGGTGAAAAAAATGTTTTTAATGATAAATATTATCATTTTTCCTATTAATACTTCAGTCATAGTTCTTTAATCATTACAGTCGGTGATTAAATATCGAAACAATATTCAAAAAGTGTCATTATTATTATTTAAGTGAAATAAATGATACCTTTTGATAATTCAACTAATTAATAATTGACTGTTCTTAGTATATAAAATAACAGATACTTATATATAAGTGAACTGGTACAAATTAACCAGAATAAAACTAAATCTACGTAGTAGATGACATTAGTAGACAAATACATTGCTCAGCCCATTGATATAACTGGTTGATTTGAAAATATAAATGTTAATGTACAACATCATGCTTTAACATAATTAAAACAAGTATAACCGAGATATTTTAATAAAAAGTTACATAAACGTTTGTAACTTTGTTTCATAAACAAAGTTACTGCAGTTATTGATTCAAGAATTTATAGGGAACTTCCTCTGCGAATAAATTAAAACTCAACCTGTCAACAATCACAAAACTGTTGTATGAAGTTTTTGAAAGGAGTTTGGGTAGCTAAGCTAATTGTATGAAATAACCTACTGAATAAGTGGAATTCTTTAGATATACTTTATTACCTTTGAAATGGAATGATAATCATAATGAAATTTAAGTTAACAAATGTAAAACGGATATTACAACAAAGTTTCTCTTATTATTCACGTACCACATTAGAAAACATATATAATTATACATAAATGCAAATAAAATTAAAATTTTCCAAAGAAATACAAGAACTATTAATAGCTATATATCTTCAAACACTACGGTTTTGTGTTCGCTCTCATTTTATAGCTTTATCACTACATAATATAAGGTATCATTAAAGATTTTGAATTGTTTGAGGATAAATCCAAATGGACATGAGTCATGTTTTCTTTAGTGATAAACATGGACGAAGTTGCATGTGCAACGGATGGTTTGTATTTGATAAAATAACACCTTTTAAATAACTATTCATAACCATGTTTATAATAAATTTAAAAGATCAGTATTGACACACCCGACAGTTTTCAAGGTGCTAGGTAACAACATAGTATTTGTCAATAGTAGAATAAAAAAAGAATGATATACTGTATCGTGTACTATATCAGTTCATAAGATCAGTACGATTCTACTGAACGAAACTAAAACCGTCCTGTAACTTTCCATTTATTATCAGTTGTGTGATATCGTTAAGTTCAGATTTCTGAACATAAATAATTAATGTTTGCTAGGCTTTAGTGGGGATTGCAGTTGAACATTTACGTTAAGTGCTGACTTCATAATCGTACATATAGGTAATACAGCCTATTAAAACTAAATACCATTACATTTATGAAGAGGAATTTTAATACTTTCGATCAAAGTTTAGTGTAATTAGAGACTGACCGAGGAAAGTCGTTGTTAACCGTTTCATTATGTACTATCCTATTTATAAAATAACTTCACAATGAAATTTATAATCATCATTATTCAGATCGAATATTAATAAAAATATGGTGAAAAATGTCTAGATTAAACTCATTAATTTTAATTTATAATGTGTACTGTATAGAAACGCTGTTGGTTGTTTATAAAATATACTTTTTTTGTCTTATCAATGTTTATAAATAACTAACTGATTCAATTAATGTGTATTAATTTGATGTGTATATATTTCTGTATATCTTACTTAATAAAATATAATTATTATCAGTGTACATATTTTGAACTGTATCGAAATGTACATGTTTCTTAGATTAGATTATTTAATTGTTTACGAATATTATATATATATATATATATATATATATATATATATATATATATATATATATATATATATATATATATATATATAATTGGTAGAATACAAAGGGATTGACCTGGAGTTCATCCACAATAATATATAAGACTTACTGCGCGGCAGTTCGTTCTGTTCTACTTTACGGCTGCGAAACGTGTAGAAGATACTCGTAAGCTACTAATATTTGACCACAGATGTCTTAGAAATATTGCTGGGATCATCTAGTAAGTAATCGTGTGGTTAGATGCAGAGTATTAGGGAATGATGGCAAATCAGTTGATGAGGTTGTGAATCTTGATCGACTAAGATGGTTAGGCCACGTGTCATGTATGCTTGAACACCGTTTACCACGACGCGCAATGCTGACCAGTGTCGGGGATGGTTGGAAGAAAGTTAGGGGTGGCCAAACCAAAACGTGGTATCAGTGTTTGAAGTCACTAACTTCTGGTCTGATCTATGTTGGTAGATGCAGACTACTTGATTGGGGTCCGCGTGCCTATCGTAACCAATGGTTGGAGACTCTGTGTGACAAGGCTCAGGATCAATCACAATGGTGTAAAAGTATACACTCTCTCTCTTCTCTTAAACTATGAGACTAAAATTATTTCATATCTTTTTCTACGAACTAACTTTCTTCCTGTACTACATCCTGACATGCAATATTTCCTTTATATATTAACCATTGAGTTGATTGCTTCTATGAATTCGGTGTTCATCTTGCTGTGCTAATGCGGTGTGGCAACTTGAACCGATGCACATATGTGCCTGGTCCTGCGTTGCAACTGACTGACTATGTGGTCAAGTTTTTAAACGGCTTTGAATACGTAAATGAAGAGCAAGAATTTATCGATTCGAGTTAGTTTACACCACAAACTGTATTTAACCAGACATTTAGTGAAACCAAAGAGAATTAAACAGTATGGATTCCACAAATTGAATAGCTATCTTTAATACTGTTACAGGTATGAGGGCGATTATCACTTCCCGGTTGCCCTCATCGTGGAAGGGTTCTTCTGGAGGTACCTGAAAAGGAAATTGGATTAGAAGTAATCATAGTGACCTGAGGGCGTGACTGCAGTGCCCAAAGGATAGCTGCTTGAGGTCGGTCACACACGACCTTTTTATGAGTAGTTTTTGTGTTAGCTCTGTACTTGTTGAGACCTTACCGCCGGAGACGGATATCCATGAGATAAGGCGAGGTGTACATTTTTAGGGTGAACTTTTTCTAACCCCAACCCTCCTTATGGGAAGACAGCATTGCTGTTATGTTGGTTGTTTGAAGAAAACATCTTACTGCTGTCACACCTCTGTACAGTCAGCAGTACGACATCTTCTTCGGACCTTGGGTTTGTTGCTTTCAGTCTTACCACTCTTCAACTGACCTGTCTGTCATGGTAGGACATTGAGGGACGATTGTTCCAGCCAGTATAGCTTTGTGGTGTGTGCTACTTATGTAGACATAAGTAGTATATGACGTGAGTACTGAACAGAATGTCTGGCAGCAGAGAGACGAGAAGATCGAACAATAAACAATGAAGAAAGAATGCAATTTGTAGGAAAATGGAAGAACAAAGGAATTCTGAGTCATTTGGGACAGTTGATGAACATTTTGCAAATTGAGCATTTCATATATGGTTGTTGGATTTTACTAACTCGTTCTGTAATTTATTGTTAAGTACATTCGATTGTCCCCACTGGTGTGTTATTCACTACAGCTTGATTGGTTCATTACGATAGGCAAGCATGACCACCACGTCAAGGTAGCAACAACCGTCGTGACAGATTGAACTAAGGATTTTCATATCTCACAATAAGTATAAAACCTTTTAATCATTATCAGTCCATTCTTGAAATAACTTTTAGTTAAGTAAATTATGCAAACCTTCTGTGCTGAAAGAGTAGATTTATTCATCTGTGATACTTCTAGATAGATCACAATTCTTGTTAAATTCATAAACTTTCCTGTGAATATTTTGTTTAAAATTTATTCTTTTCTTTTTATCTTAACTCATTGTATTAATAATAATAATTGCTCTAGTGTATTATCAACTCACAAATATTTCTATAAATTTTTTATTAATTATAAACGTGAATAAAGAAAGAACAAATATTTTAAGCAATGTAACATGAATTCATTCTTTCCAGCTGCTTGCAACGTAAAACCATAGTATTAATCACTAAGAATGAAACAATCATACATGTACGTTATATCGAAAACCGTCTTGAATAAATTTAGTTGATATTTTGCTACAATATTTATCCTTTATTTAAACTCAAAATAATTTGTTAGTGTTGGTTGGATTATATGGCTGAGCTTTTGTAATGAATTATAGTGGTAATTTATTTACACTGTTTTGCATTTTTCTGTTGCGTAATAGTAGGATTCACTATCAGATAAATTCTCCTGTAAAACTAAGGTTTTACTAATGTTACTACCCGCAATCCAATACACAATAATAATGCCAGTTACAATATTCAGTCATTAATTTAATTCGTTAATGCTTTGATCTAACCGTATAAAAGTATTTTAAAGCACCGTTTATATGTAACCACAAATAACATATAAAAATTGTTCGTTAGTGTTTTCTTTGAAATTGATTACTTTTTCTTTTAACAAAGTTTTGATGTGTTATGTCTCTGAATTCACTGAACATTATCAGGTCTGTAAACTAATTATACAGTTGTCAACTTAGTTTATAATTAATTAAATATATCCATAGTTTTAAAAATAGGAAACTTATATTCATTTATCGTAACTAGACATTATCATGTTTTTTCGGTAATTAGATTAAAAGTCTGTACACTTAAAGATTCACCATGTTTTTTTTAATTGTGTTGATATGTTGTTAGTGATAGTGTTTCTGCGACTAAATTATTTGTTTGTAAAAGAGACTACTAATTTTGGCTGTATTAGATATGTATAAGAAAATATGTACATTAAAGTATTTTGTTTGCTCATAAGGAACAAACTGGTTTATTTTCATTTTAGTGGGAATTATGATATAATCATAAATGGAAATATAGTAGGAAGTTATGCTGGATCGGGTTCCTTTGGAGAACTAGCACTTATGTATAACACTCCTCGAGCGGCTACCATTATAGCGAAAACAGATGGTGTATTGTGGGCTTTGGATCGAACAACGTTCCAACATATAGTTTTGCGACAGGCATTTTTAAAACGTCAACTTTATGAAAACTTACTGTCTTCAGTTCCGCTTTTAGGGAGTTTAAGTGCATACGAACGTACTAATTTGGCGGACGCACTTGGGAGTCATACCTATGAAGATGGGACTTGGATTATTCAAGAGGGTGAACGGGGAGAAGAAATGTACTTTATTGAGGAGGGATGTGTTGTAATTTCTACCAAGAATTCTGTAAGGAATATTTTCATTATTTGTTTATTTTGTTTATCAATAATAGTTAGCCCTTTATGTAATATCACTGAATTAATTTTTTTATAATGTACGGTGTTCCAATTACCATATCTTACTTTTCCCCAGATGAATCGATTTTGTTTTTAAAGTACACAAATTATTTGTTTCTTTTAACACCATCTACATGTAGTTAAATAACTAGCAATATATGTTGGACGCCATTTTTATTATTTGATTGTTGATAATAACAACTTATCAATTGCTTTAACGAAATAAATAGGCATGCAAAAATATTCCATTCTTATTGAGATGCTGATGATACCATTATTTACAGGTTATAGATCTAACTATATGTCCCATAAAAACTTATTAAAATTCAGTGGATATGATAAAATAAATTTTAAATAGTTACAGTATCGAAAAATATGTCATGAAAATAAATTTATTCGGGTTTAACAACGTGACAGAGAAATGATGTACTTTGTACAAATTACAAGTCACGAACATGCAGAAGGATTTTGTTTTCATACACAATATCAGTTTTCTTTATGTATATGGCAAGGAGATCATCAATACAAAATATCAAATGAATATGTACTATCTCTTTTCTTTCTGGTTTCTATTTACCTTGTCGATGATTCAGAATGATGAGTTGCTTTTCGTTGAATATCCCGTGTTCATGTGATAATTTATCATTGTAACCATTACTATACCCTTTTTTCCAACCTGTCGGCAAACGTTTTAATTTCTGGACTAAAATAACTATTCTTAACTTATCTGCTTCGTTTAGACGACTAGTATAATTTCAATATTAAGAATAGCAGCCGTTTATCTTTTCTTGACATAGGGAATTATAATTATTGGTTATCTAAAGTAGCTAATACTTAACATGGTTCCACTGTGTTTTATCTTGGATAAAGAATATACCGACGCTGTAGCAATCTAGCCATTAGGTTTATCGCACAAAATCAAAGTTTGTAAATCGTTTCGATTAGTTAAAGAAAAATGATTTCTGTTTATTCTGTTTGATGATTAGGCTGAATAGTTGGTTATTTTATTTTATAATTAACCTGTTGTTTTAGTGCGGAAATATATATAATGTTCATTCTTATGGTGTTTATCTAAATGTTATGTAGACCTTTACAAAGTTGGTTTTGAAGTTTGTAATTACCACTAAAGAGATTGGATTTGATATATTCAGATAAATTAGGCACTTACTAGATTGTTTATGATAATATATCTGTTTTCAAATTTGTATTTGATCTTGCATTCAGAACTAATAAATGTTATTGTATAATATCCTATGAAATCCAGATATCATTGTCATATTTATAAAAGAGTATAGTGTCTTGAACATTGGCTATGATCCATGATATAAGAACCAGAAACTAGTTGAAATATATACAACTTTCACATCATATATGGTTATAAAAAAGATGAAAACCAGTAGGGAGTTTTCTCGTCAAAATCTAGCACAATTTAAATTGTTCTTAACATAGAGTTTAGTTGTATTATGTGTGTAGTATTTATTTGAATTCATCTTCTCTATATTATTGTTAGAAAAATAGTTTTTAGTAATATATTCTAATGAATTTACAAGTATATATACACTCAGAATCTTAATGATAAATTTCCATCAGTAATATATTTGAAAAGTCATATTCCCAATATTTTGTCAGTATTTAATGTCATTTTACAACTTCCCTATTTTGCACTAAATGTGTTTCTGTTAGCTAATAAATTAGTTTTTGTAAGGATACAAATAATTTTAGTTTATCTCATCATATTCTCATATATATAAGTATTGGTAACTATACACAAAACTTATTTGGTGCTTAACTTAGTTTTGGTAATTCAATGACGGATATCATTGTACAGAAGGTTTATCAGCAAGCTTTTACTATATCTTCTCATTCAATTATCTATACTAATTAAGTTAAATAAGATACCATATTAAGCTCTTTTTTCACAAAATCATAAAACGTAGCATCAATGCTGTTATAAGGTCTTCAAGCAATGTGAAATTATAGTAGAAAACTGATTTGATTAATTATAATGAAATTGTAGCTCAGCTAGATAGGGTAGTGCATTGTATACCACCACTCAAGAGGACTATCTAAATTGTCTGTCACTTAAAACTGATTTGGAGATTTAAGTAACTATTTCCTCAAGTGACAAAAAACAGAAGAGTCATTTATTCATAATTTCTGATGATACGATATGTGTCTGTAATGTACTGTTTCAGAGAACCGGAGAATTCTGATTGATACTAGATAAATCATTAAGATCTATAGACTAATATTCAGAAATAACAATGGATGTGAATGTGTTTTAGAAAACCGTTTGTGCGCTTTTTCTATTTATGAAGAAGTACACGGAAAGAATCAATTTGTTAACGATTCAGTATGATCAAAAATAGGTTACTTATTTTGGAAAAGTTTAAATAAATATTCAAATATTTCCAAAAATGCAAATAGGTTAGAATTTCATTACGATGGGTAAAATCCCATTGAATTTTTACTTTTTTAATGAGTTTCAGTACATTAATAATGTAATTTTTTCTCAAATAGAAAGGAGAGGAAATCGTACTAAAACAGCTACACAAGAATGATTATTTTGGTGGTACGTACATTATTGTATTGTTGCATTATAATGTGAATCATTTTCTAATACTTTTCTTAAGATCTGAATAATTTTTTTTATATCTTAAAACGTCAATATAATAGCTTTGAGCACTTATAACTATAGAGAATGTATAGTGATAACTTGCATCACAATATACAGCTAATTACTAATCATGCATGTTTGTATTCTAAAAATCTCGTGGTTATTTTCAGATACGTAGCTGTATGTTTTTTAAGGATATCTACAAGAGTGTAAATGTAGCTTAGTTAATTTGCTGATATTCTGTTAAATCTTTATATTAATGTATAAAGTAATGGGTTTTCTGTTAGCCTATAGTAAATTTTATCTACAATTGATTGAAAATTTTGCTAATAGGGTCCAATGAATGGGAGTTGTGATAGACTGAATGCCCGTCATACAGCAACAATTCCACGTTAACAATCTACATGCTAATATAAAAGACGAAACTGAGGATAAATTTGTGTTCCATACAGAAGTCATATTTGAGGAAGTACAACTTTTTATTGTAACACTGAATGACCTTGGGTCACTTAACAAAATAATGCAAAAAGCGTTTACAATCAATCAACTAACACCAAATGGTATTGAGCAAAGATTAATTAAAGGTCATCGTGATTATCCCTTAAAAAATGAACCTACATGTGTTTTTAAAAAAAACTATATAACTTTATCTCTTTCTAACAAAATATTCTAAGGTTCACTATTACAATAGTAATTTAGACAGAAAACTTTCACTATTTAGTCTTTATTCATTCAATTGATAAGGTACACTTTCGTTCGTTACAGATTTATTTATAGTTCATATTAGTTAAATGTTGTGCATCTTCACACTAGAGGCATAATATTCTAATAATTTGACAACTTTTATTTACTAAAGCTTATAACCAGCTTGCGATTTATATTATTCTACAATTTTGCTTTCAGAGAATAGTCTTTACTTGACTCTAAAGACTTGTTCATAAGAATCAAAGTTTGTTAAAATGCTTGACTTCATTAATGTAATTTCTGATAAGGTTATAATGAATAATATATTTTATCTCTTTCAAATAGAATTAGCGTTAATTTTACATGAACCCAGGAAAGCATCAGCCCGTGCTGTTGGTAGAACTAAACTTGCAGGTACATGAATTTTTTAAGTCTTGTTGGTCTATATATGTTTTGAATTTTCTGAAAAAACTTTTACTATCTAACAAGTTTGCACCTTCAAGACCTTATTAAGTAGTCATTAAATGAATGTTCTTATGGTAATTTAGGTGTATGATGTATTATTTTTCTAAATGACATTTTTGGGCAAATTCGATGTTGCTTATGAAAACTGTAGTGGATCTAAATGAATTGTATCCTTTTGATAGATTTCACGGACCTCTATCCTTCATCGTTAACCGTATGAGTAAAGTTCTAAATTTTACATTAACTAACTTATTGCCTAGAGAGTATTTTGACATAGCTATATCGCGTTTAGCGGTGAAATCCTGGTCGCACTCTTCACATTATTAAAGGCTTGTTATATAGATGTACTCGAATCTTGATATTGTTGCACGCACGTAAACTTGAACAAGTAAATATCTCTTCTAACGTCAGTCCAATATCCACTGAGCTGAAATTTAATAGCCAACAGTTTGCTGAACCAATGTAAAGGTATTAGTGAGGGTCTTTTATTTAGTCAGTTGTCATCGAGAACTGACTATCTATCTATCTATCTACAAAGGTAAAAAGTCTCCAAACTATATATATTCATTGAAAGAGCATAACAATAACAGATTATTCGCTTCCTGGCAATACAATAGCATATTCTTTAAGGAACTATATGCGTAAATTTAATTTAGTTACTCCAAAGTCTTTATTTTTGAACTGGAGAACGTGATATAATTTCATCAAATTATACGTATGACGTCTATAACGTTATTTAAAGCCTATGTATTTTAATTTAATATATGTATGTGTTATTTGTTGAAGTTCTGATTGCCATTTCGGCTACAGATAATGCTTAGAAACATTTGGTCCCACAAGTTTTATGCTTACAAGCTGTGATTTGAAAAAAATGTAATTTCAAACTGCTTCACTTTACATAAATATAATAGAGGTATTAATGCACTAACAAATGTTAGACAGGGAAAGATTCTATATTACATAACCGTGCTCATTCATTTAAGTAAAATATATGTCACTTTTCTTATTTTCTCACTGCTCGTTATACTGTGTATGGAATTTGTAAAATATTTGTCTTTTGAGTTTTTCTCTCAAGATCCTTTTCCTTTCCTTTGTCACTATATATTAGTTCTGGATGTGTCAAGTTTTGAACGACTTATGGGACCATGTATAGAAATTATGCAACGTGAAATGGGACGTTATCGTACTCAATTACTTGAAACTTTGGGACCAGATGATATACGTAATAATCCTTCATTGGCAAAATTCGTAGAATTCGAACAGTAATTTCAAAAAAACTACATGAATATGTTAACTATAATGAATTATGAAATCAAACTACAATTGTCTGTTCTCATTAATTTCTTCTTATAGATGTTTTACACAAATAATCGTACCCCCAATGTTTTATTGATAAATTTCTGTATTTTTCATGAATATAAACGTTTAACATTTTCATCGTCTTTTTACAATATCTCTTAAGTGATTATTCTCACTATTTACACATACATTCAATCATCGAATCTATCTTAAAAACTGATGTTTAGTATTATTATTATCATCACAATATCATATTGTAGGCATATTAAATTAATTACTTCAAACATCACTTATAACCATATACTATTTTCATACAAATTCTATGATATACTTTAGAAAATAGTTTGATTAATTATCTTTTTATTATTTTTTTTCCTTATAATTTAATAACCTTTATCGATTCTCGTATAATGTAAATAATTAATTGATTATTGGGTTTCTACTTGAATTTAGAACGCACACACAAAATGGTGTGAAAAAGTAAAACAGATGGTGAAAATTAATTGAAGGAAAATAATTTATCCATTAAATAATAAACATAATTGATCATTTAAAAAGAAAAGAAAAAGAACAAAAGAGAATTAAAAAGAATGTCATTGCATTTCATTCAATTATTTAATACTTTACTTGTATACTTAAATTTCTTTAGTATATTGAAGATATAACAGATGAAAAGCTATTATATTTACTTACAATTATTATTTATTACTGCTTATAGTTAATATTAATTTAGTGATATTATCATTAACTTTACAGTTGTTGTTGTTGTTGTTGTTTATTTAGAGTTGACATTATGATTATATATTTTAACAAATTGAATACAATAAAAATAACAGTAAAATGATGTACTATTGTTGAGTAATGAGTAAGTGTTTATGGTATTTATTTCAACAGTACATACGTACACAACTATGATCCTGAAGTAAACCTCCTCTTATTTTTTTTCTTCTGTGCTAACTATAATTCATGTTTAGTGCGTGTATGTGTGTATATGCATGGTAATGTTTTTATCACTGTTTTATCTTTTATTAAATAATTTTCGCCTTCTGGAGTGTTTATAGTTTATTCATTTGTAAATGTACAACTATGAATAGATTTTATGCAGTCCTATATTTTGCTGATAGTTTAAAATTTTCTAATCAAACTAAAAGATACTTTATATCATTTATGGTAAAGTTATTATTTTATTTAGTTTTTTAAAGTAATGATATATATATGTTCGTTGTGTGTTATTGTTATTAGAATGCTTCATGTTTGTAGTAAAATGTAATGAAAATAATAATCAAATAATTTTAATTGATCATATCTTCATTGATTTTTTATTTCTATCAGAATACGTACCAGTAAAAAAGAAAAAAAACTTTCACTGTTGATTTAGAAAATACCGAAATGTTTAAAGTGACGTATTTAGAACTGGTGTTTGGAAAGGTGCATATATATATATATATATATATATATATATATATATATATATATATATATATATAATTTAAGAAAATATATTGGCTTTAGTATGAAAGCCTAAACATCCAATACAAGTAATTGCATCTCTATTATTCTTTTTTGGTTGAAGATAAAACCTCTGTCTTACAATCTGTAAATTGCTTTGATGATAACAATTTCTTGGGCGATGATTGCAAACCTTTTTCTGATCATAGTAATTACCTGTTACAGATGATCAGGTGAGTTTTTGCGCTGATTCGTATGGCCTATAATAATCGAAATATACAAAAAAGTGAATCTGATTCAGTGAAATCTCATATTTTAGAAGTACCTAGATATAAAATGTTATTGTACTTAAAATTGAGACGAACTTTTAAGTTTGAAATATAAATTTAAATTTAGTTTTGCAGAAAATATTTGCAACGTGCACAAGTAGATAAGCATATTTCATAATTTATATGTCCACTGAGCTTACTAGAAAATTTCATTGGAGTTTTTATTCCCTTGAGGAAGATTTAAAAATATAGTAATTTTTAATTCTTAACGTTGACCAATTAATTCACCATGTATTCGGCAATATGTCAGTTTTTGTGTTTAAGCCTAACAAAAGCAAGAAACACGTCTCAATTTTGCAATCTACTATAAAAATCTTCAATGCGCTTAGTGAGACTAAATGAAACAACAAGGCATACAGTATTGTCACGTAAACATAAAATATCAAAGATTATCGGTGTGTTTGTCTGTAAATCAGATCGTTGAAATAATGGTTGAAAATGTGAGATAAGAATCAATCAAGACCGGAACGTTTTCACAATGAGTTCCACCATAATTTTAACGATATTTTTCGACAATTTATACAACATTGAAGATTTCTGAGTAAAAGTCACACGATGAGCTTCAACATGCTTAAATTGAATGAGGCAGAAATTGAAAATATATTTAAAGTGAATCGGGGAGTGATTTATTAAAATGATTGTCTTTTTAACTTCTGAATGCGCAAGTCCATTTCAGTTGTTTCGTTGACAAGAGATTTTATAAAATATATGAAATTCTACTTTTGCTGGAAAAGTATTTTAACTGATTTTATAATTTTGACACTAATATAGTTTACAGTTAATTTTTAAGCAAATCCACTTGTAATAGCTATGTGAATATGTTCAAATTAGGTGCGTTGAAATCTGTATGCGAACCTTTCCTCTTTTCAAAATTGACGCACAACTAGATAATGTACGAAATCGATTTTTTTAGTAACGAATAGTTGTTCTTAGTTACTGACGATTTTGTGAGTTACATGAAAAACGCGTTCTATAACAGAATAGTTTTATCATTGTTTAAATAAAGCTTTCTTATTTTCCTTGTTTTAAGGAAGTGATATTCGTGATTTCAGGCCGAAACCTTTTATATAGGGAAAAAAGATCGTTTCCATGCCTTAAAGAAACGTTTACTGCAGATTTAGAAACATCAGATTTGTTTGATTTCTATTACATAATTTTACAGTTTTCTTTACAACTTTCCTGTTTTGTAAGTGATTTTCTTTTACTAATAACAATTATTTACTTTCTGTATGTTAATAGGATGTTAATAAACTTCTCAGGCACACCCTTCTTCAATAGACAATCCCAGAGAACAGTTCTGTCCAACGAATCGAAGGCAGCCTTGATATCAAGAAACACTACGATTGTTGGCCTTTGATAAGTATGGCGGTTTTCTAACACTTGGCGGAGGGTGAAGATATTATCAATACATCCTCGACCAGAACGAAACCCAGCCTGCTCCTCGCGAGTCAATCCTTCTCGGGTTCTGAACAACCTACGAAGTATGATGGAAGCCAATAGCTTGGACGCAATCGGAAGTAGACTTATCCCCCGATACTTGTTACAGGAACAACGTGAACCCTTTTTAAAGATAGGAACAACTATCGACTCATTCCATGACGTTGGTACACTCTCTAGTTCTCAGATCTTTGTAAACAACGTCGTCAGTCCCTTAGTCAGAAAGTCACCACCATCTTTAAAAAGAGCCGGAGGTAAGTCGTCTGGGCCCGGTGATTTGTAACGTTTCAAGAGTTGGAGTTCCTTGCGGACTTCCGCCTCATTTGGTGGATCAGTCGTCACCGGCCATGGAGGGCAGGACAGTCTGACCGATGTTGCCGGAGCAGCAGGCCATTTGAACTGCCCTTCAAAGAATTCTGCCCATCGTCCAAGACGTCGATGGATGTTAGTGATTGGCGTTCCGTCATCCTCGCAGATTGTTTCGCTCACACCAGACTTCTTGCTGCCAGTGGCTCGGATGAGTTGGAAGAGCTTCCGGTAATTACCAGATGCAGCTGCTGCTTCCAACTCACTGGCACGCTCCGACCACCAGGCTTCTCGGTCCTTACGCAAGCTTTGCCCAATTTCATTACGTAACATCCTTCGTCTGTGGTCAAACTCACGGTCACCCGGAGTAGACCGACGGGCTTCGATCAGTTGTAAGGAACCAGAAGAAACCCAGTGCTTGTAAGCGGGACGTTTCTCAAACCCACAACTGACTTGGCCCGCCATTTTCATGGCGTCATGCAATTGCAACCAATGCTCATCTATACTTTTCGGTGGAATGGTAGCTAGCCTAGAAGCTAGCTCGGTTCGGTACATAATAGCAACAGAAGTTGCAGCCAGCTTGCTAACATCGATCCTGTGGTGGCGGTCACTTCGTTGTCCACTGAAAAGTAAGGTAAGATTGGCGCAGACCAGAGCATGATCAGATTCCAGATAGGTAATCTAAAAGGAGCGACAGTCTTGTACACAACCACGCCAGCGGTAGCTGATCGCGATGTGATCAATCTGAGTCCAGGCTTGAGATGCAGAAGGGGGACGCCAGGTGGCACGTCGGCGATGACTGTGCCGAAAGTTAGTGCTAGCCAGAAACAGGTTGTGATCTGTGCATAGTTGCAGTAGACGTTCACCGTTATCTGTCCTGCGACCAACGAGTCCCCATCGGCCACCTAAACGACTCTCTTCTGTACCTAGACTCCCGACCTGAGCATTCAAGTCTCCAGCTAGTACTACAATATCTGTCGAACGCACTTTCTGGAGAAGAACAATTAGCTGGTGGTAGAACTCGTCCTTGATTGCATCCGGGCTGCAATCTGTCGGGGCATAGGCGGAGATGACGAAAAGACATAGTTTCTCACACCGATTTCTTCTCACTTTGATGGAACTTTCTAATCTAACAGCACATAACCGACTGTTAATGGGGATCCAGTCGACTAGTGCTGCCTCAGCTCTTGCGCTTAGTGCGACACCAACGTCAGCAAGACCAGACGAAGATGCCACAGGGTCCCCGGATAAACGCACATAAAACAAGCTTTTTGAAGTGACAGATGGAGAGCGAACTTGTAGTACTTCACCAGAGTCTTGAATACGGGTCTCGGATAGACAACACACATCAATATTAAGACTTTCCAAAGACATAGCCAGCTCTATCTGTTGTCCGACCTGCATAAGTGTGCGAACGTTGAAGGCAGCCAGTTTGAATGATGCACGTGGTTTCAGAAAAACTGCTTCAGTACTCATATTCGGTAGTAACATACAATTTTCAACCAGGCAGTGACTCGAGAACGTTTAGATAAAGCTGAATTTTCACCATAGGCGAGCTGCTGTCTGAGTCGAAACGGATACAAAAGGTAGAAATAGGAGATAGTGAATAAATGACGTAGTAAATAATAACAATAATAATAATAATAATACCAGTCATTTCAATGTTAGTCGGAGAGAAACGAATATTTTCTATAAGCAGATAGTTCATCATGGTTTTAGTGTGTGGGCTGAGATACTACCCGGGTGCCCAGACCGAAGCAGGTGGTTTTCTTAGGGGGCCACACTCCGAGCCTTTGACCTAAAGGTCTAGTCCACAAAGCAGTGGAGCATCGTGAGGAGATGCAGTCCCATGGAAGCCGGTGACCAAAAGTTGGTTCATACGCCATTTGTTCCTTCAGGATACTGGAGCCCATGTGCACCATAGAATTGGGATCCGGTTATAGCGCCGGACATTCGCTTTTCGTCCTCTCATTTTCGTAAACAACAGTAATGCCACGAGAAGACAGTGAGTAGGACTTCCCTGGCAGAGGCTGTATACGCGTGGCCATGTGAGAGTATTTCAAGAGAGAGGGCGAACCCTCCCCGCTCTCGGCCATTCCAGGGCATTTGGGGGCATATCCTAAAAGCCCTATACACAAACACCTCAGGCAGAGTGAGGGCATACAACCACCTTTCTCCACTATTCCATTCGAGCAGTGGAGTTAGACAGGGTTGCCCAATCTCACCATTCCTCTTCAACTTTGCCATCGATGACATTCTGGAAACAGCTCTGACGGATGTAAGTAATGGTGGTGTGGATCTGTTGCCTGGAGAAAGACTTCTCGACCTTAAGTATGCGGATGATATTGTCTTACTGTGCGAGAATGCCCAAGCTATGCAATCCGCACTTAATCAGTTGGCAATCAGTGTCCGTAGGTATGGTATGTGCTTTGCACCCTCGAAGTGCAAAGTACTTCTACAAGACTGGCAGGATTCTAATCCTGTACTCACTCTGGATGATGAGCAGATAGAAGTAGTCGAGAAGTTCGTGTATCTAGGTAGCTGCATAAGTGCTGGTTGTGGTGTGAGTGATGAGATCAATGCTCGTATAGTGAAAGCCAGAGCGGCTTATGCCAATCTGGGCCATATTTGGCGCCTTCGTGATGTTAGTCTGGCTGTAAAAGGTCGGATCTACAACGCGATGGTGAGAGCAGTTTCGCTCTATGCTTGTGAAACCTGGCCTCTCCGAGTTGAGGATGTTAGACGACTCTCTGTGTTCGATCATCGTTGTCTCCGAAGGATTGCTGGCATCCAGT